TTACACAGGCGTTGTAACGAGGGGTTATAGAAATTTATATGGTTTATATTAAAATTTTATCTACTAGGCCACTCACATTTGTCTTGTCTTCACCCTCCAGGTCTTCTTAGCTGAGCTTTCTTATCGTCGAAGGTTCATGGCGATCCTTAGTACTGGAAATTATTTCAAGGGTATGATTCCCAATTCACTCTTATGTACTTACTTATGCTCTAACATCACGTGTGCAGTGGGTTATTCCCGCTCACCAGTGCACTCTAGTATTTAGGCACTCTTAGGTTTAAATTTATTCACAATTTTTCTACATCATCACATTTTATGGCTTCGTCACCTTTCAAGTGTCAGCCAGCACAGCTCGATTCGGAGTCCTAATGGACTTTCCGGGTCGGGGTGTGTCATAGATCATTGAAACTAATTTCGTAAAATACATATCTCCCTTAAATTTGCCTAAATTTTGAAGTGGGAAAAGTAATTTGTGCTAAATTTTTATTTATGTTTTTCAAGTATTGATTAGACAATATTTAGTTTGTGTGATGACATTTTCATTGTACAATTATCTTTTTGTATCTTTTTGTTCCTTATTATTATCTATTAAACCAAACAATTATTTATTTAATTTTTAAAAACGTATTCTATTTAAATACATATTATTTATTTATTTATTAAACCAAACAATTATTATTTTATTTTTTAAAATCGTAACAAAATTTTGGGGGGATTTTTGCCGCCATTTTGTTTCTGTCGATTATAACCGACAGTAATGAAAATTTTCTGTTGGTTTATATTTTAAAAAATGTTTTTGTCGGTTTTAACTGACATTAATGAAAATTTTCTAAAATAAAACTCCTCAATCTCTTCCTTGTGTCGGTGCCGTCTCCCTTCCCCCTTCCCTCCCCCTTTTTACTCACCTCATTTCCTTCTCCTTCTCTTCTCCCCCTCTCCTTCTCACTTCAGTCACCAATGGTTGAACAATTCGAGGAGCAACATTCTGAAACCAGTACGTTTTAAATTATTTGTATTACGTGGATTCCTAGTCTATGCTTAAGAAGCTTAAGAATTAGCATTAAATAGCAAATTGATTGTGTGAGTATTGTTGGAGATGTGAAGCATGGAGTTGTATTGTAACGTGTTGTCTGACTTAGCACAAGTAGATGCGGCTTAGGGTTATGGACTTGGATGCTGATACCAACCCTCATGGAAGGGGAAGGAAGGATAAGAGCTCATACCAACCCTTAGGTGGGCTTCGACTGAAAATTAGTTTTCGTGTTCCCTGAGTTAATATGTTTTTCTGGGTTGTCCTTTTTGGTTTCCCACCCTCACCCGTCCATCCTTCACTTTTCGCAGGTAGTCCCTAGCAAAACTCCCATTCAATGGGTTGTAATATGTGGCATCCCTAGAAAATTTTCAGGTTCTTCCATATTCTTTATTTGATTTACTAGCTTCTTTAGGAGTTCTCCAGCTCCGATCTTTTTTCTTTTTCCATCAATTTTTTAGCGAGTATAGTTGACTGAAATCCTCTGTTTGAATACGATTTTTGTCGATTTTAATCTAGTTGTAGTTGTTACCAATATGGCATGGCTTGATTATTGATGTGAGGTTATGCATGCTACAATGCGAATTTGCTTTGTTAGTATTATTATTCAATTATTAGTTTTGTTTATGTTTATTTAAATTGTCCTTTTTACATTTTTTTTATTATTAATATATTTGCTGTCGGTTTTATCTGACAAATAATGCTCTTATTTATTCATTATTGATAAATTCTCTGTCAGTTATATCTGACACAAGTTCTATCGGTTTTAGAGTATTTTCTGTCAGTTTTATCCAACAGAGAATGCTCTTATTTATTCATTATTAATATGTTCTCTGTCGGTTATATCCGACACAATTTCTATCGGTTTTAGAGTATTCTGTTGGAAAATTCATTTCTTGACACTGGCATCCGACAGTAATATACGTTTCTTGTCGGTTATCATAGTGACAGTAATAAATGGTTTCGTAGTAATGTATTAGAGTTGTAATCCTAATAGGGTAAGAATTTAACCTTCCGTACTACTATAAATAAAGACACAATGGGCAATACAACACACACCTCATAATTACACATCTCTCTCTTCTTTCTATGTGCCGCACCTTCTCTCCCTCTGTCCTTTATACAGTTCAGTAAATTAGGCCTATAACAGATTAAATGTAATAAATACATTAAAGTTAGGAAGAAAAAGAGAAATAAAACATCAAAATCAAATTAATTAATCAAATGAATATATGTATCAAGGGATACACAATCATACAAAATACATTCACAACACTCCCCCCTAAGTGTTTAAATATGCTATATAGCCAAAATGCTCCTTGAGATTTGCATCACACATCACTTTGGTTCCTGAGATTTAAAATCAATAGAAATGGTCCCTGAGATTGTCCACCATCCATTATGTTGGTCCTTCCCTTAAAAACTTCATTAAGTGTCCCGAAACTTTTGGCTGGAAGTTTGGGCAATTTTCAAAGCTTCGTAACTCAATCGTTTCTTAACCAAATTCAACCCATAATATATCAAAATGAAGATAGGAAAGTGTAGAAAAATATTATAAGTATTTGGAAGCCCAATAGTGGCCAGAGATGGCTAGACAATAGCCTAAAAGGTGACTACTTCGTGTGACTGCTTCGTGGGAAAATTGGAAAACTCTTCGGAAACTAGGTAAACTTTAAACGTTCATAACTTTTTTAATACTCAACGAAATTGAGTGATTAAAAAAACATCATACTTCTCAACGAGACTAAGAGAATAGTGGCTTTATTAATGGCTAATTCGCCATGGTTTGGCCGGAAAACGGCTCGAAAGTGGCTAACTCGAGACCAAGACAGCCACTTTCAAGCCCTTTTTTGGCCAAAACACGGTGAGCTAGCCATCTAGAAAGGTATTATTTTCTTCTTCTTGTTAAGAACATTGATTTTTATTTTGAATCACTCGATTTCGTTGAGTATTGAAGAAGTTATGAACGTTTAAAGTTTACCCAGTTTCCAGCAAGTTTTCCAGTTTTCTCGCGGACTAGTCACCTTTCAGGCTATTTTCCGGCCATCTTCAGCAACTATTGGGCTTCCAAATGGTAAAATCATGTTCTAAACTTTCCTATCTTCATTTTGATATATTATGGGTCGAATTTGGTTAAGAAATGATTGAGTTACGAAGCTTTGAAAATTGCCCAAGCTTTCAGCCGAGCTTTTACGGAGTTTTTAACGGAATGACCAAAATAATGGATGGTGGATAATCTCAGGGACCATTTCTATTGATTTTCAATCTCAAGAACCAAAGTGATGTGTTATGCAAATCTTAGGGACCATTTTAGCTAAAAAGCCGTTTAAATATCACGCTTCGATCCCGACATACGTCCAGGATTTACATGTGACGCTCTACTATAGGGGTGCTAAGAAATATAAGCAAGAAATACTGAACTGGAATTCCCAATCTTACAAAGTGGTGGGGTCTTTATCGCAAATATACAATTGTACATCAAAGCTACATGTTCGTAGGCTTTCATAAGAAAGTCCAAACAAAATACAATGAAAGATACAGGGTTAACCTAAGCACTCCAAGCTCTCTGACATCAGTCTACTACCCCAAGGGCTACTCGTATCAACTAAGCCCTATCACCTACACAATTGCCCCTGCAATGCACTGAGCAAAGTAATAACCCGGATAAGCTGCAAAACTCATGTCAATGACAATAATCTGACGTATATGGATAATCATAAAACAGATTCATCGATCACAATTTATAAATAACAAATACAAATCAATTCTTCATAAAATCATGTAATCAAAATCAAACCATTGAAAATTCCAAATGAGTCAACCATATATCCATCAGCCTTGCTAAATCAAATCACAAAGGTTCTCAAATCTATCGTTCATAAATACGTTGAAAACTAAGGCTAGAGTGACACAGTTTGACCGAAGACTACATCTCATACGCTTCCATGTTCTAAACCAATTCTAAGGAACCAAAGAACCAATGAAGACAAAGGATACTTAACGAAATCCAACGATCCGGACCACTCTACGAAACTGAATAGGAGAGGGATCCCAGACCACTAAACAGAATCCAACAAGACAAGGTTCCAGACCACTCAACGGAACCGAAAAAATACAATTATGGACTACTCAACGGAATCGTGAAGTAGGAAGGATTCCAAACCACTAAACGGAATCCAAACGAAGATAAATGGATTCTGGACCACTCAACGGAATCCATACAGAGTAGGGAACTGGACCACTCAACGGAAATCCAACGGAACCTAGTTCCAGACCACTCAACAGAACCACAGAATCCCAAGAACATAGTTTACAATGGCTCAACAAAACAAGGCATGCCACAAATTCAATGTAACAACTCCCTATCATGATGGGCTATCGGCCCTCTACTAGCCCTCATGTTTCTCAAACATCTCGAATATGCATTTCAAATCACAGTTTATAAAATGTATCGATGGCTGAATATAAATACAATATTTAGTAGAAAACCATGCCATATCCACTAAGGATACTAACATGAGAATTTCATTGGTAGTCACATATCACATATATTAAAGTCCTCACCTGGAATCTGCACTAATGCACCCTCGAACAACGATCAAGGCGTGCACGTACGATGGTTGCCTAAAACAAATCATAAGTCCCATCTCAGAATTCTATCGATAGAACACATAATTCTATGTTGTACACGTTCTTTAGAACATTCTCAAGACTCAACGACAAAGAGAGAAATAGAGAGAGATGAAGAATGGCTTGAGGAATTATATTCCTCAATGACTTGTGCCTTTATTTATAGTAAACAATAGAGAGAGAGAAACTTGCTCTCAAAGTAATACAACTTGTACAAGGAAAATATTCTAAATCTCATAGGATTTTGTACGAATCTACAATAGATTTAGACAACCAATATCATATAAAATATATTCACAACATTAACTTAAAAATAGACCAAATTCCTAAAGAGCATAATTTAGATCTTCGCCATGGGCCTTGGAATACCCAGGACCAACCCTGAATGGCAAATGCTGGGGTTGACGGAGCAAAATGCAAGAAGCTCCTGATCAGACTCAAATATGGCCATTTCTTGTTCATCAAGGGTCACCCAAGCTTCGATACCATCTTGCTCTTTTGTGTCAACCAACAAAATTATGTTCTTGAAGACAGTTAGGCTGGTGACCCACGCAGGTTTCCCCCATCCAAAATCCATTTCATACAGAGGAAGTTTGCACAAACTTGAGGTTCTATAAACATTTACGCTGTTAATATCATTCCTCTCTCTAAGAGACTCAGATACCACCAACAATCCATCCTCACCCTTAAATCTGCTGGCCTTCTCATTGCGAAATTCTGTCAATCCTTGCCTCATTTTGCTCACCAAATCGGGTAATTCAATCTCATTTTCTTTGAACAACACTTGCATTGGCCAAAACCAATTCCCCATGACATTTTCTGATATCTCCGGGACGATGCTTTTGCGGAAGCTCACCATTTGGGACAGCACCGTTGGCTTGATTGAACTCTCGGGCTTGCACTGACGGGAAGCAGCAATAGAACATTTCAAAATGATAGCCAAAACAAGATGGCCGTTTGATGGGATGAAGGCTTGGACACTTCCAATTTTTTCCTTGAGACTGACCATCTTCGAGAGATTGAATACAAACCTTCTTGTAACTAAACTTTGAATTGGGATTTCCAAATTTACCATGCTGGACGGCAAGGATAGCTCTCTAGGCGGCAATAAAGACCCTCCAGTAAACTCCGGTGTCCCCAATTGCAGTTCGAGGACTCTATCACGATTTATCGCTGCCCATGCTCGCACAAACGTGACAAGTGATGCTGCATCTGCAATCTTGTGTGAAGCGGACACAGAAACAACAATTCCTCCACAGTTGAAAACACTGATTTGAACAAGCAAAAGTGTAGATCCCAAAGCTTCGTTGGCTGTTCTAGGATCATTTTGGGCCATTAAATGGTTGAGTAACTCGGGATTGGGTTGCATGAGAAGGTCCAAAAGCTGGCAGTTAACTCGGGCTTCAAGAAAATGAGCCCCTTCATCGTTGCACTCAATGAACGCGGGGCTTTTGACTCGGCCAGCCATTGGATAGAATTGAACTAAAGCTTTGGATAAAGAATCCTGCAAGCGCTTAGATTTTGTTGTAGTACTCTCCGAAGTTTTGGAAGCAAAATCAGAAGCATTGTGGTTTGGGAAGAACCATAGGATAGTTCCATATAAAGTAGGAGGCATAATTTGGTCCAGAAGAGAGAGTTTAAGAATTCTATTGTGAGGAGGAGTTGGAGATGATGGTTTGATGGTCTTTCTTGAGGTTATTTCCACCAGTGAACTGATATCACAACTACTGAGTATTGTTCCATGTCTAATTGCCATTCTTGATCGAGTTGGAGATGAGGGTTTGAGAGGTCTGGGGGTCTAGATTAAGGTTGAAAATTAATTAGGAGGAAGTAGTTTGTCAGAGCGATTTGGAGATAATTTATAGACGACTGTAGAGATTGTTTAACATCCATTGACCATTTTTTCCCTTTAAATAGTTCCCCTCTTGTAGATGTGCGTTTGATTAATTAATACTAGTCTATCCACACACGCTAACGCACACGTAAGAGACATTTATTAATTCCGCTCGCTACCCGCGACTTACACCTTTCTAATCACACGTTAGGTTTGATTTACAAATTTTTACTTTATTTTTGATATTTTCATTTGTGAAGATAATTTTGCAACAACATCACACTTTACAACTTGCATTACACTTCTGCAACAACATTCTTATTAAAAAAAACAACATTACACATTATGGCCATAGAATACAAAACTGAACATATGTCATATCAAGTTGATGAAAAATCATAGCAAAGGAAAGTAATTAAAACCTGAACAAACAATATACATGCAACTCATCAACAAATGTCCAACATGGTGTAGCCTGCAGTCAAGAACCTTTTCTCCTACTCAGAGTCTCATTCAGACGCTCATAGAATCCAACATCTTGCAAATAATGAAAATTCAACATTTGATAGCTCTTTATAATAATGCATGAGATTTTATTTTTGTTTTGTTGATGTTTAAGACTAAATACAATTTTCTATTCATGAGATTGAAAAAGACTAAATGCATATCTCACAACAATTGTTTTCTCCTTCACTTGTATGAAGGAGAAAAGAGAACTTTATTACTCGAGTGAGAAATGGTTTGGGCTTATTGGATTCTAAGGAGAAAAACTGTTGGTTATTTAATTAATTTATTTTACTAAAAATTCAAATCTTTATTTATTTATTTAAAACAATAAATATGAAGTGTCAGTGTACAGAGTTTTTTTTTTTTTTTTAACAAAAAGTTTAATAAATAAAGAATTCCTCAAACATAAAAAGATACGTTCAATTATTTTCCTTCTCTCCCTACTGTACTCCTCCTCTATATTCCCAATTATCCTCCTATTCATCTTTATCATCAACAATCAATCACCACGGACAAGGATTGTCTGCCCTCCTAGTTGTGGTGCCCTTCCATGCCCTCCTATTTTGTGCGGTCACGGTTAAGCCACATCAATATTTTATATTTTTATTGTTTTTTATCTTATTATCTCATTAAAAAATTAATATAAAATATTGACGTGGCTTAACCGTGACCGCACAAAATAGGAGGGCATGGAAGAGCATCACAACTAGGAGGGCAGACAATCCTTGTCCAATCACCACTTGGCACCTATCTATCATAATTGTGCTTATGGATAAGATACTCTGTAAGATTCGAGGGTTGTATCTTGATGTTGTAGATAACCGTTATAATCGGCGCATAGCGAGACGTCTACGACTTTAGAACAATGAAAAACACGTCTCTCTTGATATATAGGACAAATTATTCTTTACATTTTCGATTTACTGTTTTGTTTATTGATATTTGTGTCAGATGGATTTGGATATTCTCGAATTGATTGAACAATGATTCTAATATTTATATTGTCCTACACTATCCAATTTCATTAGTCATTGCACCCCTATTAAATTTTAAAAAAAAAAGTCATTGCCTGTAAGATATAGCGTTAACAAACTCAGGAATCATTTGCAATATGAAATTGCAGTCCAATTTGGAAAATTTCCTCCTTCCTTCATCGGCATTCTTTGACTTACAACATAAGGAGAAAAATCTGCACCAAATAATCATTCCTGCTAATGGAAGGAGATGCATGGAGGAGTAGAGTTTTATCCGGGGGGGGGCTCCCGTTGGGGGTTAGGTACTTTAGGTAGTTTTTATTTCCGTCTCTTCGATGCTGAAAGTGGCTAACTGTCTCTATTTTTCTTTTTTTAACAAACGATATTACGTATACTAAAGGGGTGGAGGAATGGGGCTAAGCCTCACAATAGGCTAACAAAGCGAGAATCGAACTTAAAACCTCTCATTTACAAGTTGTGCTGGTATTTTTGGGGTTTAGAAAGCTTCACCATTTTAGGATGCTGGATTTATATATATAGACTAGCCCCTTGCTAGGCTTGGCAAACAGGTCGTGTTTGCTGTTTTTCGTGTAACACCTGTTATCTTAACGAGTCATGTCGTATCACACCCATTATCTTAACGGGTCCTTAACAGGTCGGGTCACTTTAACCAACAGGTAAAAGACCTGACCTGTTATGACCAGTTAAGAAAAATACTTTTTTCCTTAAATTTGCACATACCACATTACCACATAAATATTACTTCAAAGCATAAAAACACATTTGTCGTTATGTACTACATTTACACTCCAAAATAAGAGCCTAATAAAAAAGCACCAATACACTACTAGTCTACTACAAAATATCAAATGTGCAAGGATATGTAAAGTGAAGGAGTTTTTCTTTTCAAGGTTGTAAAGTCTTTCTTAGAAGTTAAAATCTTGCTAATGAAACTCAAAGCTTGCATGTTATTTTGTTTACAAAATCCTTCAATTTTCATCGATCACCATGGGAGAATTGTATTGGTACTTTGGCTTGATTTATTGTCTTCAAAAGTTATGTTGATGATGTTTTCAGTAAGGTTTCCACATCAGAACTCTCATCCGCATAAACTAAGTATAGAAAAACCAAACATTATAAACCATTCAAATTATGAGAAATTTACCAAAATAATTATGAAAATAAATAAAATAACGTACTATACCTATAAAAATATATTACCTCATTTTTCAAATTTTCTAAATTTAATTTAATTTATATATATAATTATTATAGTATTTTTAGGAGTATAAAAATATTAAATTAATATTTTGCTTATCGTGTATCGGGTTACCCATGTGTATACCCGGACCAACCCATTATCTTAACAGGTGCTTATCGGGTTACCCGATAACGACTTGATTCGCTATCATGTCGACCCGATAATCTGTTAGTTTTGTGCCGTTTTGTTTCAAGTTAACAGATCGTGTCAAAAATTGTCAAACCTACCCCTTGCCAAATTTAGCTTTTTTTTTAAAATTTATTTTTTTAATTTTATTTAAAATACTGATTTTATAGTTATTTTAAAAATTCAGAGAATGAAACAATAAATAATGCCCACTAAGTAAGAATCTTTTATTTTTCAGAATTTTTAATTAATTTATTTAAAATACTAATTTTATAATTATTTTAAAAATTCAGAGAAAGAAACCATAAAAATGCCCACTAAGTAAGAATCTTTTATTTTTGAAAATTTTTAATTAATTGTCATTTTAACATTCTAATTAGAGAGGGGCATTCTTGGTAAATTGAAAGCTTCACCATTTTAAGTTCATTTTAACATTCTAATCAGAGAGGAGTGCTGATAAACTCAACCCAATGTTATATTTCTACACCCACGTTATAATTTCACCCGCCATGAAAAATTAAAAAATTAAAAAATTATTTCTCTACCAACCTCTAATGTATTGTTTTAGTTTTAGTTAGTTTTATTTTAGTTTTTCTTTATTCTCTTTTAATTTATTTAATTAAAATTAAAAGACTTATAACGAATTTATAAATATGGATTTAAAAGTCTTTTGCTAAAAGGATAAATATGTGATTAACATTTTCGTTAAAATGTGTGTGAAAAAATAAGACAATAAAGTGATTTTAGTAGCACTCTTAGAGAGGGACATTTTTGGTATATTGAAAACTTCACCATTTTGGTGTGTTGACTTTATATATATAGATATAAAAATAGATATAGATAATTTATAAAAAAAGCCGTAGAGATGGTTTAACATCCGTTGACCATTTTTCCCTTTAAATATATAGATAATTTATAATAAAAAAAGCCGTAGAGATGGTTTAACAGCCGTAGAGATGGTTTAACACCCGCTGACCATTTTTCCCTTTAAATATATAGATAATTTATAAAATAAAAAAAAGGCGTAGAGATGGTTTAACATCCACTGACCATTTTTCCCTTTAAATATATAGATAATTTATAAAAAAAAGCCGTAGAAATGGTTTAACATCCGCTGACCATTTTTCCCTTTAAATATATAGATAATTTATAAAAAAAAAAAAAAAAGGCCCAAGAGATGGTTTAACATCCGCTGACCAATTTTCCCTTTAAATATTTCCCCTCATGTAGATCTGCGTCTGAATAATTAAATTAACTAGAAAAAAATATATAGACCCAAAAAATAAACTAGAAACAAGCATCTGACAATTGGATTTGTTTTTGTTTTAGGCTCTTGTAAGCAAGAAAATTTTTATTGTGACATGAACACGAGTTGTACACCATATGTTTTTATGTAAATGCTATGAAATTTTATTTTTTAAGTTATTAACTTTTTAACACACATATTTCACAATTTGTATAGTGACACGTGGTGTACCATCCCGTGTATCAGTCACGCTGAAAAATCTTTCCTTGTAAACAAGCGTTGACCCTCCCAAAGTATTGGTATTTTATATGGTCTTGTGAGATTTGGAATTAAAATTTAACATTAGATAATGCAAGGACCTTATGACTATAGTCGTTATGATTGCTTACCACGGCAGGCGATGTACTGTTTAACAAAAAAAAAAAATGTTGTCATAGGATGCCTCCTTCTGCAGTAGAAAATGTGGCGTGTGGATTATTTTTTGGAGGAGACTTTCCTCTCCTCCTAATCTTTCTCCTCTTTTCTCATTCTTACTTGAACGATTATGAATAAATCACGTCAACATCTTAAATTAATTTTTTTTTATAAAGATAATAAGACAAAACACAAAGTGTGAGAAAAGAGAAGGGAAAAGAAAGTGAATAAGAAGAGAGAGAGTCTGACTCCTTATTTTTTTGCCCACATTTGGAGTACTTTGTTTAAGAAATAAGGGTTGGCGTGTAAGCTTACGTAAAAAAGATTGCCTTTTGGTGCATTAGCAGCAAAAGTGGTACCATCAGTAATGCTGGGCGGGCTTTTGGTCTTGTTGATATTTCTCTTTGAAAATCTGGTGTTGATATATCTCTTTGAAAGTCTGATGTTGAGGCCTAAAGGGATACGTTCAAATCTTTTAAAGCAAGGAATTCTAGGTCCTCCTTCTTCGTTTGTGTTAGGAGATCTCACTGCAATGGATAGTATCATCCAAGAGAAGGGCCACTCAACTGCTACAAACACGGTTGATGATCCAAAAACTCCATGTTGTCATGATGTTCTTTATTTTTAAATTAAAACAATAATGTCACTTTCTCCAGCATTGCTATCATAGAAAGACATTACTGTGAATATATTGAAAAAGAAAATAAATAAATGTAGAATAAGTTAGAGGAGACATGAAGCTAAACCCTAACAAGAACTAGAAAATTATTAGAAACAAAAAACAACTAATACAACTCCTAAGAGAAATGGAAGTCTCAAAAGATTATGAGCAAAGGCCGCAACTGCACACAACAGACAAGAAATGTGAGAAAACCGAACATGCATGGAAGAGAGAATGGTACAACAATTTACTCAATCAATCGATAAAACGTCAAGGCACTTGAGAAAATCCATTACACTAGTAGAAAAAACTACTCACGTGACAAAACTTTAAGCGATGAAGCAGTTTTCATCACTCAAATGTCCTTTGCGAGACAAAATAAGGGTATCGTCGCGTGAAAACGAGGGCCATAAAAATTATTGAAAACATTAGACCGCGCGAGAATCCCACTATGATATGTAGCTTAAGGAATATGAGTGGGAAACGCATGCCATGCTTGTGCACGACATGAAGGCATTATTGTCCTATGGGGTGGGCGTCTTGGAAAAAAGTGTCGGAGAACCTGAAGAAGTCTTTGTTGGATGAGTTATCAGTAAGTGCCAATTAGTAATTTAATAATTATTTGTCCATAACAAGTTGATTTCATTAAATTTCATTGATGACATATTCCAGAGGCGTTACCGAGAGTGGAACCGTGACGCCAACCGAAATGGACAAAAACCACCATCACAGTAGGTGTTTTATTTAGAAGTTATGGATGAATTAATTAATTTTCTAGTATGTAGTCGGATTGTATTAACATTCGTGGATGGTAGCTTTAAATATTTTCTTAATTTGTATTTGGATTAAGTATTTACTTTAAGTTTTTATTTGTTTAATTTGATTTACCTTATATGGGGGATTTAACTATCTCATTTTTTGCCTTTAATTTAGTAAAAATTTAGTCCATGTTAATTAAATTAAAAAATAAATAAATAACACATAACGAAGGTCTGTTGTCGCGTAAAGGCAGACTGAGCGATAGAAGTCTGTTTGATCATGCAAAGGTTTTCGCAGGACGAATTGGACATTAGTCACGTGAAGATGATTTGCGCGACAAATCCTTCATTGCATAAATTGAATTAGGTTAAGATTTTTTATCGACAATTTATGTATGCGTGACAAAGCCTTTGTTGCACAAAGTGGTTATAATTAGAGTACCCAGCCGTGAGAGACAGAAACTGCATACTTTTATTTGCAGCAGCTGCCTCATCTCCAATTCCCATCATCTCTCAAATTTGTCCTCCACACCCTCAAATCTCTTTCAAATTCACCTTCCACTCCCTCCATCTCTCACCATCTCTCTACATCACCATCTCCACCTCCACCTCCACCTCCACCTCCACGTCCACATCCACCACTACTAGAAATTTGGCTATAAACCACCCTTTCATTTGGTGGCTATTGTCAAGTGTTGCCACTCACATTCGTGGCTAACCTCTTTGGCCACCAAGCACCCACTAAACTAGTAGTGTGGGCTATGTAAAGGACTCTATTGTAACAATGGCTACCAATATTGCATTGGTGGTATGTGCAATGCCACCTTAATTCACATTGGTGGCAAAGTTGCAAAATAATATTAAAAAAAAAAAAGATGCCTCAGATGGCACCCAGATTTGAATATAATATTTCCTTTTTTTTTTTTGGGTGAGGAAACAAATTGTAATATCTTTGATATAAGAATATACTACAAATTTGCATAACTGATCTTTTATACAATTTTGAACAAATGTTGGGACTCAAACTTTGAAAAGTGTTTGAACACTTTGTTTCCAAAGAGCTTAATCATGTCAATAACTTGAATGTGATCATTTGCTGCGCCCAAAGTCAAATCCACAAAATTCATAAGAATAATGTTAACTCAACTTCAACTATTAAAGCAATTAGAGTTTTTTTTTTTGAAGGATTAAAGCAATTAGAGTTGAAGACATGTATCACTGAGATATGATCAAATAAATACCTGGGAAATGTAGTATTTCAAGAGGTTTGCAGTCATAATATCAGCCATGAAGACTCTCATGTTGCTGCTGCTATTTGGCCTGGCTAGTTAGGACTCTAGCTCTGTTTGTTGTACTTTGGGGACTGCTTTGTAGTGTGTTATTAATAAATTTCCTTCTTTCAGAAGAAAAACAGGTAAAATGCGAACATAGAATTAGAAGGTCTAAACATCAACTTGAAAAACCAAAATATCAAAATCAGATAACTTAAAAAGGAAAGCTATAGCTCCCACACATAAATTCATTAATATTTTCTCTTTTTTCAGAAACTCAAAAAACCAGGAAATTCCAATACAAGAGTTTAGGATAGAAACATACAGTTCTTCCGAGAAGAAAAGCAGCCCCTGCACCTAAAGTGGCTCCAATTGAATCAGCAACAAAGCCAACAGGTAGCCCAAAAAGATAACCACCACTGAACTGAACCATTAAATGAGGAATCACATAAGGGTGCAAACTTGCAATTAAATAAAAATACAAAATTTCGTTTTTGAAAATCTTTCCTCTCTGTTTCGCCCTAGACCATGAATTGATATTGCAGAATATAACAGTAAAAGAAAACTATAAGTGAAGTATGCAAAGCATATGCTAGATCATTAGTCCACAAGAATTAAAGTGCACTAACAACAATTGCTAAGGCATCGGACAAATGCTTACATTAAGTACTGAATGTTATATCTTTAACACTTGCAGGATTAAACTGAATGTAAAACATACATATAAAGACACTTCATACACAAGAAAGTCACTTCATAAACAAGTAGCTGTACAACTAGTAAGTAGACCCAAATGCTTATAGTAAGTACTGAATATAACAGGATTAGACTGAATGTAAGTGGTATTAGGATCCCACCTTAAGCAGAAAATTTGCTCCGGCCACAAGACAGTCCATTTCATCTGCCTTGTCAAGAGAAATCCCAAGCTTTTATTTAAAAAGATATGCGTACTTGAATCCCCCACCACCTGTGGCCTGCTCACCATTGTCACGAGTCAATAAATTAGCTTGTATACATGCCAGAAAACAGTGATACAATGGCCAAACCAAACAGTTGGTTTTTACCTTAATAACAAACTTCGCGCTCCCAGAAGCTCCGTGTTGTTGGGAGCCTGAAATCATCTACAACCATCAGCAATGACCCAAAAACAGATCTCTGTATCAAAAGAATTCAACCTATGATAAAGAATTATAAGAGTGTTATCTGTATGTCGTAGTTTAATACTAGAAATTTTGCATACATTACACATGTACAAGATTGGTTACTGCAGAGATGGTAGTGGTGAAGAGTTCATAAGGTTGAGTAGAACACTATAACAGCTGTTTAGGACTTATTGTTGGTTGATAACTTCATCAACCAACAAAGTTCTTGTGTCAAAAGATGAAAAAATGATGGAGCGGAGTCATGCGTCATAAAACCAACTGGTCCACCAACAACATAGAAGTATAATCCGAACATCATATGATATGAGATTTGCATATTGAAGCTCTTTGCAATCACGGACACGGTTAAATGGCGAGCCTCATTATAAAAACAAGTTTTCCCACGTTGTGGCATCCCACTAAATCCTAATGAAACACAAAAATGAGCAAGGACAAAACATTACCATGAAGTGAGCAGACCTGAGATTAACAAAAATTAAATTAAATTCAAACCAATAAATTAAGACATTAATGGAAGTATGAGCTTACTTCATCAATTCAAATTCACCATCAGGTGGCACAAAACTAACTGTCTTCTCTGAGTTAAACCTCGTCAAGTTTACACATTGATGGAAAGTAACATCGTCGAGCTTGATAGTTTTCCCACTGCAAAATACTCAAGTCAAAATAGAAACTAAAAAGGAATTACATTTTTGTGCTGTTAGAAACTATAATCATCTCGACGAAGGCCAACATGCAAGGCTCAAAATACAAAACATATAAACTTTTTCGTACACACCTGTAAAGGAAAATAAAATGACAACAAAAAGTAAATTCAAAGTTTAAGAACTAAATAAAAATGCATAAATATTTGGTCAAAATAAGAGTTGTAGATCTCAATCTAATAAAGATTAGACGGTAATAAGACAGGAAGAAACTAAGGAAAGGAAAAGGAAAAAACAGATAAAAGAGTAATACATCTGAACCACTGCGTATATGCACACGGTACACAGCAGAAAACGCATTCCATATCCATTGAGAACAAAGAAACAAATATGCCTATAACTACAACTACTGAACAAGCAGCTATATTCAGGGCATATATGTTTTTTACTTAGTTTCAGGGCATATATATTTTTTAGAAGAACCCTCGTCACCTTAGTTTCACCCACAACCTTGCAAGGCTTCCATTCTTCTCGGCCCAGGTTGGAAACAACCTTGATTCATCTTCCTCGTCCCCAATCTTCGACATGCATACAGAAAATGGAATTAATATTTGAAATCCAGAATCGATCCAAAAACTGAAAGTTTTTATTTTGAGAAATCACTTCCACTAGGGTACAGCCATAAGGAGAGGATTGTTGCGTATACCTTAAGCTCTGATAGTAGCATAGATACAGCCCGATAAGCAGGGTCTTCTGTGCTTTCCACGATAAACATAAACTCTAAGGGAACACCATAGAGAGAAGTGAACTGTTTTCGTTAATTAAACAAAATAGTTTAGACCATATTGGAAGGAATCCTTGGATACAGATTCAACCTATTAAATCAATTAGCAGAAGGATTTTGAACACTTCACCATATAAGACATCCCTACAGCGCATATACAGAAATTTAGACATGCCCACCAAAAGAAAATATAGTTTAATTATGTTAATCTAATATCACAAAGATATTGAGTGCCCCAATAGAAAATAAAAACTGCCGCCATAAATCAAAATTGAAGAATTCAAACTTGGAATCGAAGAATTTCGCAATCCCAGAAGCCGAATTCAACCACAAAACATAGAGATAAATTGAATAATATAAGTAAAAAAAAACCTGGAGAAGGGGCTGAAAGGGAAGCTTTAATGAGGGTTGAAGGCCATGACTTTACCCAGATTGACTTGAATCTGCTGCCGAGGGGTCTTCATTGCTGTGACCCTGTCCATGAACTTGCTGCAGTTGCTTTTCGTCTTCTCCTCCCTCCCTCCCTCCCTCCTCTCTGCAAGCCGCATGCCTTCCCTTCACCGAATCCCCCGCTCTCTCTCTCTTTCTCTCTCTCTCTCTCTCTCTCTCTCTCTCTCTCTCTCTATAATCCGCATACCTTCCCCTCACCAAATCCCACACCGAGCCGTGGATCCCATCGAAAGGGTTAGGGAGGAGGCGAGGAGTTGAGCTCAGGGACGAGAGAGAGAGAGAGAGAGAGAACGGCTGGGTTGAAAATTAGGGTTGTCTAACTTCGTATTTATTTGGGGGTGAAACTACTGTAGAATAGGATTATTAAATGAAAAAACAATTATTTTTGACAGATAAAAAGGAGAAGACTGAAAAAGAAATAAAAAAATAAAACTTTAACGAAAAGCATCCGGTATTGTTCATTTTAACGAAAAATCACATTTTTACACTAAAAAGTCAATCCTGGTACTATTCATTTTACCCTTTATTTTTTTCTTATCATTAAAACTCAAAGTTTTTAAGTCTTTTTCATTAGTTTTCCTATAAAAAAAACAAGTCCCAAAGTTGAAAAAACATGTAAAAAGTCTTTGGTGTAACTTTAAGAAATAAAGTTAGTTAACAGACACCAATCATTGGTGGCTGATTTCTTAAGGCCACTATATCAGTGGCATCCCACTGTAAAGCCACCAAAAAAAAGTTAGAGTAGCAACTTTATATTTATGGCCACCAATTGCAAAGGGTGGGCAAAAAATGGTGTGTAATGAGCATAATTCTAGTAGTGCACGTCCACGTCCACGTCCAAATCCACCTCCATCTCGATCTCATCTCTTTTGCTCGATCTATCCTGCTCTATCTAGTAAGCGATTTGATTTTGTATTAAAAATTTTCAATAGTGAATTCAAACTAACAAAATTAAATTTGTTTTCTATAGGGTTGTTGTATATGATTATCGATGAAGAACGAATTTGAAGGTGTTTTCTTCACTAATTTAATTTTTATTAATTTAAGTAATTTAAGTAATTTAATTTTTTATAATTTTTGTGATTTAATTTATGTGCATGCAAATATTTTGTACATCACTTACAAAAGTGTTTTGCTCCATTGCTTATTTTATTTCTCGAAGTTCGTTTACTTTGGAACATTTATCGGATTGAAAGTTTTTTATGCCATAAGATATATACATAAGACAAGAGGATTCTCATACAAATGGTTCATTGTTGTTAAAATTACAAAGAAGATCAAACTTGTACAAACAGTTTGAGGAAGACAAGACCTCACCCCTAGCGAAAGAAATGCTTGAGAGTCAAAGCAATATCACCAATCCAATATAGAATACCACCGTTAAGCCAACGGCATGCTATGCCCGCCTTGCTGCATTCCAAGCACGACACTACATTGAGGGCTAGTACTCAAATGGAGATCCACCACCATCGCCGTCCACAAATAGAGGAAATGGAAAAAGATGGAGACGAAGAATTCATAAGAACATCCCACCACCTTAAAAGGAATTTGACTCCAATGTAGATTTTGCACCAGGGGTCAAGAAAAGAATAAGGTTGGAGAAGGGACACCCCGTGTAACTTCAACGCTCAAACCACATGAGTGCCACACGGGTGAGTGTTTAAACAAAGAAGCATCACACCGTCAGCAAGCGTCTAACGGGGAAGAAAGCGGTGACGAATCATCCCCATAAGAGTGATAAGCCAATCCAGAGGATTAACTCCGATGCAAGTTTTGCATCGTGAATACCACATCGGGATGGATGTTATAGAATGAGTTGCAATAAGCTTGGAAAATTATAAAGCGAGTTGTAGGAAATAAAGAGGTATCTTTGAGAATGTGTAGGGACTTGTAGTAGGCAATATGATTTTTTGGGATTAAATTTTCTTTGGCAAAGAACTAAAGGGAAAACTAGGGTTGAAGAAAAGAAAAACAAACATTATGGCACAAATGGCATAAGGTGAAGAGAATTGTGATTTGGGGAGGCTATTTAAAGGCAGACCAGGAGAAGATCTCATCGCATGAGACAAAAGGTCATCATCAGATCAACATCAATGGGGATCAAGGTTAATCAATGAGATATACAATTTCCTTTTTGAGAGATGTGTTGTCAAAACGGATGTGTGCATCATCATGAAGGTTAATAAAGGATGGGAATTGTGAACGACTTAACTACCTCCCTTTAATAGGTCATACCAAATTTCGAGAATTTGAAGACCAAACGGTACGTATTCCAGCTTACTCTGAAAGACATGATCTTTGGATAACAATCCATTCTCAAGAGGAATGGGTTGCCTCTCAAATGGATCGTTAGGGGAAATTATGGCACCGTGATTTTTACAGTTACCTCATAAGTCCGATTATGGACTTACCAGCTCTGAGTGGAGCTGTATCAGATAGAGTCACTAGGACTCTGCTGTGTTGGCATTGAATCTGCATACCTCTGTAAGTGGTGGTTGAGCACAAATCCGTGTAGTTTGGAACAATCTGCAAAACAATAAACAACCCTAAGCCAAAAATTGTCTCAGGGGTATGTGTATCAGCGAAAGGCTCTCGAACGGTCAAGATAGTGGATGATTTGAGACTCAAGCAGTGGGTAAGAAAACTCAAGTGTATAGATTATGTTACCGTATATGAACTCTAGATGAGTGTATTTATACTATGGGAGAAAGACGTTTTTAGGATAGAATCCTTGTTCTCAACCAGGAGAATCCGAGAGGATATCTAGTAAATAGATATTGCATCATCTTAGGAGTGTGATTACTTGCGGCGCATGCCTATCCCTAGATTGTAAGATTTCTAAGAATTATAGGATTTGATTAAGTCCATATAAGGATCAAATTACGTGTCTTTCGGAACAAGCATAGTCATCAAACGGAGTCATTTGGGCTCCTCCTAGTGCCCCGGAGCATAATGATGATGGCATTCTGCTTCATCTGTTACAATTTCGCTCAGAGCTGGTGAGTCCATGACTGGACTTCTGAGCTAGTAGTATTCAAATCAGCCTTACTCCACCCCAGGAAATTATGGTCCCACAATTACCCCTAACTATTCATCTGAGAGGCAACCTATTCCATTTAAGAATGGATTGTTACTTAAGACCATGCCTTTCGAAGTAAGCTGTAAAATATACCGTTTGGTCTTTAAATTCCTATCATCAAGTTTGGATCATCATTTAAAGATGGGTAGTTGAGTCACTTCGATTACCATCGCATAATCTTTGGAATTATGAAAAAAGATCCACTGTCATGATGGCGAACACCTTTGTTTTGCGTGGTAACTTTTTTCCATGCATTTTATTAATTATCATCAATTTTCGTGTATATCAACCCCAAGATACGCGTCTCTTCACTTTCAACGATGATATCTCTTGGTGTTTTCCTTTATATAGCCTCATCAAGCAACTGTTTCCTTCAAACATTTCCCATTTTTCTACCATGATTCGTGTGCCTTATTCGCCTAACTTTTAATCCTTTTCTAAGTTCATGTTCAGAAAAAAATGCAATCCTAGAAAACCGCATCACCCTTTATAAACCTTAAAAAATGCTACCTTTCTTCTTGCAACCCGTTCTATAACTTCGCACGCTTGCTGTAACTTGTCTTATAACATCCATCCCCTCATAAGGCTTTCATGTGGTCTATACGAAGGGGTTTGATCAGCATAAAGTGTGGGGACCCAATGAAGGGCTCCTCTGTCACCACTTTATTCCTCATCTGATGTTTGCTGATTGTGACGAAAGTAACACTTGCCCATATGTTCATCATGTGGTTCGAGTGTTTGAAATCTCACTGGGATACCCCATCACCCATTCTCTTATCGCCTGACACCTTGTGCAAAACATGTACTGATGTCCAGTCCTTTCGAGATAATGAGGTTTCCTTATGAATTCTTCGTCTCCAGGCTTCTCCATCTCCTCCACACACGGACGACGATGGTGGTGAATCTCCATCAAAATATTCACCCTCAATGTAAATATCGTGTGCGACTACGTGGTATGCAGTTAGTCTTAAAAGCTAGAGTGGATTACAATGAGACTTGTACTCCTCTTACTAGATTGCACACTATAAGGACCCTCATTGCACTTGCAAATTAGAAAAGTTGGAAATTATATCAACTTAATGTTAAGTCAGCCTTCTTAAATGGAGTGCTAAATGAAGAAATATATGTGGATCATCTTAAAGGATTCATTGTTCCAGGTTCTGAACATAAAGTGTATAAGCTCATAAAAGCCTTATATTGTTTGAAACAAGCTCCTAGAGTTTGGTATGAAGGGATCAACCCTTACTTGCTTAAATGTGGCTTTCAAATAAGTCCCAGTGATACCACTTTGTACATCAAATTCAAACAAGGAGGTAATAACTCATTGTCTCCAGCTAGGTTGATGACATTGTGTATCCTGGAAGTACTATGAACTGATCGATGAATTCAATGTTGACATGATGAAAAAGTATGAGATGACAGACCTTGGATTGCTAGATCACTTCCTAGGAATGATAATCATTCAATTTGAGCATGGAAATCTTCATAAATCAAAAGAAATATGCATTGGTTCTTCTTGAAAAGTTTGGTTTGAAAGATTGATGATAGGGATTTTACTACACATGTGAACAGGCTAAAAACTCCTATTATACTTCCAAGAATCACAAGGTTGTAGTAGTATAAACGGATCTCACAAGGTCGTTCTCCACAAGGATTATTGAATAATTCGAATCAAACCAAATTCCAATTAATGATTGTAAAGTAGAACTTGAGATGATTGATTTTTATGGCCTAATTTAATAAAATGAATTTAACTAATAAAAATAAGACAATCTGCAATATTAAAACTAGAAGGAAAAGAAAACAATTTTGGGAGAAATCAAATTAAGAAAACACTAGGGTTCCACCATCACCTAGCAATCCTATGAACTTTTACCAATTACTTATGATCTACACATGCCACTTTGAAGGTTAGGTTTTCCTAATTTATATTCTACTTGGAACCTCCAACATAGAACGTATATCTAACTTGCAACCCGTCCGAACGTTCGGATCAAATCTGAACATGAAAGACTCATTATGCTTTATGAAAACCCTTTGAAAAACCATGCAATCCTTAAAACGTGGTGTTCATCTTAAGTGAAATTACAATTATTAATCACAAGAAGCCAGTGTCAATTTCAGGGAACCTTCTGACCAAAATTGCATCAAATTACTTTTCTAAAGATCCTAATGGTGATCAAGCATTAAGACAATTAGATAGTTTTTATCCCGGTGATTAACAATTCAAAGT